ACATCCTGTCCATCCAACTTGGAGCCGCAACCATATCCATCTCTACCATTGCAGCACCCAGAAACGACCCAGACGCAGTCGCTCATAATTTTTCTCTCATGCATGCGTAGAACCAACAGATGTCCCCAATGTCTCGTCTCCCATGGCCGGATCCTTGACCTCCCTTGTGTTCTCGTCGGAAGCACCTCTTCTCTGCGCACATACACACACGCACGCACATGTATACACACACCAACACGTACGACAACGTCTAGAGGGCCATGGTACGCCATGCCGGACGGGGATCGCCCTGGATACCCACCCGACCTGCTGGAACCTCAATCTGGGATGGCGGCCCTGCTCATCTCTTTGCCTGGCAAATTTGACTAGGAGGGCGACCAGGGCGGGCAGGGCCGTAACCGTTCCAAGGTCGCGATGGGAGCAATCTCCGGGCGGCCACCGTCTGGTTGCCGTCGCAATGGACTGGAATCGTCTCGACGTACGTCTCCGGCTTGCCTGGAAATTACCATCATCATGGCGCGCAGGATGATGAAACTCGAAGCCCCGAAGGTTGTGTGGCAGGGGCCATCATGGATGGATTAGGTTGGTTACGTATGTAGGTAGTGAGGCGAGCCCAAGCAAACAAGGTGGTGGCCATCGATCAACCATCAACCATTCGTGTCACACGTACTTGTTCCTGTTGCTCACTCTTCAACTTGCTTCTTCTTCAACTACCCTCGGGAGCCGCACAGATCAGAGTGGGATAAATGCCGGTCCCGAGACTCGTCCCGGCGGCCGAGGCGTCGATAGCTTCTCGCTGCATGCCCACAATCCTGCCGTGAGCACGAGACAATTTCTGCATCTCAAGCCAGGTCGGTGTAGCGTAATTGGATTTGCAGGGTTGTTACAGGTGAGAGAGAGAGGATGCGATATTACTCTCAGCTTAGTAGAGGAGGGTGTTTTGGAGAGTGAGGTTAGTTGAAGGATGGTTGGGTATACACTTACATGGCACTTCAGCTACGGCCTCAGCTTGGGTCCATCGATAAAGAGTCCTCATCAACATGACATCTATGGCGAGCTCACCGCAACGCCAGCTCCTTTTCATTGTCCAACGTCTCCTTTTTCAACCCTCCATGCAACCGGTGATGCAAGACGGCTTGTCCTCAAAGTGTTTCTATTTCTGGCAATTCTGCACTTTAGCTCATTTACACCCACTACCTGATTGGCCTTGCCCAATGCGTCGTCTGTTTCAGGTTATGCGGGCGCCTAACAGCCAATAGCGTGTGCCGAGCCAAGTTCGTCGGTGGGGGGAGCAGCAGGTCGGTTCTCATGTGCACAGCGATGGATGAGTGTCCGTCTGACCATCCATGAATGAGCGAGTCCAACTTCATCTTGTCTGGCATCAATTCATTCCACCGTAATCTTGCAAGGTCAGGTGACGACTTCTGACTGTTGCTTGGATCGGATATCGAAGCCGATGGGGCTTGTGCCTGGCTACTATTTCAGGTATCTGTGACAAGGCCTTCATCTATTCTGGATGCCCAAGCTCTTGGCAGAGACGTACTCAGTTCTTCGTCGTCTAAATTATGATTATTTTCATTATGCAAAGCAGAAGGGTTGAACGCTGCAACTATTCTTGGTGTTCTCTACCCATCCGAACCTCAAGTCCATCAGGCGGCTCCGAGGTCTCAGCTTACATCATGCTTGGGTGACTAAGCGACCCTAATTGCCGCACTTTAGCCGAAAGTGTGGGACGTCACTTCCAGCCTCGCCTAGGTTTTTTACCAACCTCACAACCTTCACCTCTACATTCCTCAAACAACAAAGAAACGCCCAAATTGCATTGCGCACCGCGTGGGCAACGAGGCGAAATGACATGATCATAGCAATTGTCTGAGGCCGAGAATTCGTAAGTACATTTTCAACAAACACGCCTGCTTTCTATGATGAACTCAATTATTGGAGCTGTCTGAATTTCCATTGCTGAAAAGACACCTTATACGCTTTTTTATCTGATTTATGATCGCGCATCTCTCTTACTATAGCCTGCTCAACTCTCGCGGCCTGTAGCTGACTCTGATGCTTCTAGTTTTGCTGTGTCTGCTCCCCCAAAGGATGCCACGCGCCCCTACACATCATCACGACCTCGTTTATTCGCCAGGCTAGAAAACCGGAAAGATGGAGGCTGCGAACGGAGGATCCACCGCTCAGGGCCAGAATGGCTCGGGTGGGCAGCCTGACGGATACAAACTCACATTCTGCACTGTATGTGCGAGTAATAACAACAGGTTAGATGCCTTGTTCTCCCAACCCGGACTGCTGTGATGCTTACTGGCTACGTAAATAGATCCATGGAGGCACATCTCAGACTTTCCCAAGCGGAGTACCCAGTCATATCCTTTGGTACTGGCTCTCTGGTCCGCCTGCCGGGTCCTACTATCACACAGCCCAACGTCTATCACTTCAACAAGACATCCTACGACAGCATGTTTAAGGAACTTGAATCCAAGGATCCCCGGCTGTATAAAAACAACGGAATCTTGAACATGCTCAACCGAAACCGAGGCGTCAAGTGGGGACCCGAACGCTGGCAAGACTGGCAAGTAGGTGTTCCTCGTCTGAACCACTCTAAGGATCGTGGTAGCGAGGGCACTGAAGGCGGCTTGGTTGATGTGGTCATTACCTGTGAGGAGCGGTGCTGGGATGCCGTTATTGATGACCTTCTTAACCGGGGATCTCCCCTCAACCGACCTGTTCACGTTATCAACGTCGAGATCAAGGATAACCACGAAGAAGCCGCCGTCGGTGGACAGGGTATTCTGGACCTTGCCAATTCTCTCAACGCTGTGGCTCGAGAAGAGCGAGACGCGATAGGCGCTGCTGCATTTGACAACGGCTCCGCTGCGAGCAGGGCTACTTTTGACGAGCGAGTTCCCGATGTTCTTGCTTCCTGGCAAGAAAGATGGCCCAACCTTCCGGCCACATGGACCTTGGCTTGGTTCTGAGACTACGTCATTGGTCCTGTTTTGTCGATTGATGCGCATGTTACCGCTTTTCACTGTTTTATGCCAAACAGTACTATTATGAGTGATTAAGAGATACCACGCTGGACCTCCCGGCCAGCAGCGAGCGAGCATTCTCTCGCAAAATTGGGAAACCAAGGGCAACAGGGGCGCAGCCCGTCATGGATTCACGCGTAGATTATGATCGGAGAACGAAGGGATGGCCTGCTTCAACTCACATCATGAGCCGAGGTGGTGGAGAGCACAAACAGATATCTCCGACAAGACCGGTGAATTGGTTTTCTGGCCCATTCGTGTGAGCATGCAGACTGAGCCCGGACATGGCTCCGTGAGCCACCTCAGACATGCGCAGTTCCGGCCTAGACTTTCCATGAAGTAGAGCCCCCACGGGTCATTATTGCCGGCCGTTCCGCTGATGTTCCCGCTGTAATAATGATATCGAGGGACAGGAGGCAGATCACAACGCCAGCGTTTGATGGACCCTCACAGTGTTTTGAACACACGACTTTCATAGGCAGTCAGAGACCGTTGATCATGATCAACCTCATAACGCAATGAAGATTCTCGCAAGCTGCATCTGCAACGTGCTGTTTATGGAGACGCTTATCGATCCGAATCTTGCACCCGTCCCATCCACTGCAAGGCCGTGGTGCTGATCCCACCAGCTGAGTTGACCCGTGTTTTGACGACGCTCCAGTCAGACTCATCCTCCTGTGCCCCTATTTACGGGACCAACGACATGCGAAAGATGGAGACCCAATCCGAGTGACGGATCTAGACCGTCAAGAAGTCGAGATGGTCAAGAAATGACAAGACACCAGGACACAAAGACAGTAACTCCTCATAAGGCAATCTAAGGATAGGTGCAAAGATAATAAAATAGTGCATCAAAGATCATCAAACCATAGTCTTATTATGATTATCCTTATGACCATTTTAGGTTCTTTATGAAAATACTTAGACCATGGTACTCTGCCATGGCATTCGAGAAGAATTATTAGATGCTCTCTGCCCCCTGACTCTTGGCTCGCGCGAAATGTTCTAGATCGGTGCTTGAATGGATCTTCGGGTCTCTCCCCCCTGGTTGCTAGACGACGGCTTTCCAAGTGAGACCAAATGACGCCTTGAGAAATGCCTTTCTTCAACGGTGTCTTGCGTCTATGTCAACTCGCCTATCAGAAGCCGGTTGTTGCATCATCTGAGTCGCGTGTCTTGGTCCAAGATTAAGGTTGTGAGTGGCTTTGCCCTTGACATCGAATCCCGGGCCCTCGCTCTCTCTTCTTGACTTGACCGGGCGCCTATCCAGGGGGTCCAAGTCCAAGAGGCAACCAGAGGGACCTCTTACATGCCGCGTAATGAGAATGGATGAGCGACGAAGGCCTCCAGATGGACAGGGCACGTCCGCCTCTAAAATTAGGTTCGACGCCACAAGCTCTCGGGGGTGGATCATTGTGCATTTGGCTTAGCGCCAGCGCTGCTTCATTGACATCGACTAACAAGATCAGGGGTCAATGGTTAACGGGTTGAACTCTGGGATGAGGAAGAGTCCAGTCTTAAACGGAACTGCCAAGCAAGGATACGTGCCTGGTTTGTTCATTTTCGAGTTCTCGTTCGTTCCTAGACGTCTTGCCAAGCAGTCAGTCACCTGGGTCAAGAAAAAGACGAGACACGACGACAAATATATTACTGCATCCCTCTCTAAATATAACCAATAAACTATCACAAAAATATACCAAAATCTCCTAATTAGTATATTATTTTATAATTTTTTTATAATGAGTTAGGTAATTCTTTGAATACTCTGGCGTTGTAGTAAGTGCAACAGTTTCTCGAGAGGATTGAACAAATATGGGGCTTGGCAGGCATCCAAATCCTTCTTATGATTTTGCGCCTATCTAGGCATCTATTTAAGCTGGATCAGAAACAACATCTTGTATGTCTTAACGAGCGCGGCTGTCCGCGGCGCCGTCGGCACCCCGCGGATTCCGTAAGCTTAAGATGCACCGTGTAAGCAACATAAGAGAGATGGACTTCATGTGGTATGAGGTTTCAGAGTTCACTCAGAATTCTCGCCCAACAGCACTCTTTCCAGTAACAATCATCAGATCATCCATCAAATGGCGTCGCAACGGAATGGCGAGCCACGGACGGCCGCCAAACAGCCAAGAGTCATCCGGCCAATGAGCCACAAGTATGGCCCTGTCTAAACGTCACCTTCCAGCCTCATTCTAACAACATACCAGTGAAGCTTACCATTCAGCTTTACATGTTTTACGCCAGAGTGCTGCTACCGTTGTAGCATGCCACTACAGGCTGCCGGAAGAGCTCACCGATCAAGGTTCTTTCGAAGCAGTGCAGGATGCCTTCCACCGGGCCATGGCTCTTACAGTGCTTGAGCATCCGATGTTGCAAGTAGGCATTCTAAACGAAGACTCGGCTGTACCATCCTGGATCGAGCTTGATTCCGTTGATCTGAGTGCGCACATTGAGTGGGAAGAAGTCAAGCCTTCACAGGACCGCATGGCTCGTTCGCGGGAGGTGACTCTATACCAGCTTGATACCTTTTTTGCTGATGTAGAATCCAAGCCTGGCTGGAGGATGTCAGTTCTCAGGGAAGAAGGGAACCTCTCGTCTCTCGAGGTTATCTTTGCTTGGAACCATGCCAATGTGGATGGTGTGTCCGGCAAGATCTTCCACCAAAGCCTGCTGCGCAACCTCAATGATCCCAGGATCAACGAAGAGTTGCCTTCTCTTGAAGGAACGGTGCTCCATCTTGAGAGTGTGGCCGACAGGTTCCCTCCTCCGCCAGAAAGCCTTGTCAATATCCCCATCTCGCTAACATTTGCCCTCTCAACCATCTGGAAAGAACGCAGACCCCCATTCCTCGTGTGGGGTGATTCTACGCACGCAACCTGGGCCCCGATCCGCGAGGAGCCATACAAGACCCAGTTCCGAACATTTTCGGTTGATGATGCGACAGTGAAGAAGGTTGTCAGTGCGTGCCGAGAACACAAGACTACCATTGCCGGTCTCTTACATGCACTGCCACTGGCATCCCTGGCTCTGCAGCTAGACGAGGGCAAGGAGCATTACAAGGAGGACGCCAAAACGATGCATGCCATTACTGCCTTGGATACTCGTCGGTTCATGCCCACGAAACCCAAGGAATATCCGTGGCATGTGCCCGAGAGAACCATGGATAATGAACTCAGCCTCTCCTTCCACATGTTCGATTCCAAGCTCCTAGCCGAAATCCGAAGCAAGGCGAAGGGAGTATCCTCCGAGAACGAGGTCATGGGTGTGCTCAAGGATATCGTTTGGTCTGCCGCAGCCAAGACTAGACAAGAGATCCAGGAGAAGCTCGACAACGGTATGAACAACGACCTGCTAGGTTTGATGAAGTTTGTCCCAGACTGGCGAGCACAAAAGATGAACCAGCTCAAGAAGCCACGAGGAAGTGCATGGGGTGTCTCCAACCTGGGAACTCTAGACGGGGAGGTGGAGGGTCCCGGTTGGAAGATCGAGAGAGCCGTGTTTCAGCTGAGTTGCGAGATTACCTCGCCCGTGTTCCATATCAGCTCCATCAGCGTAAAGGGCAGAGAGCTCTGCGTGGACATAAGCTGGCAAGAGGGCGTGATCGATGAGGCAATTGGTGATAAGCTGGCTGAGGATATGGAAGCTTGGTTAAGGTTTCTTGGTGCGTAGCCTTGGAATGATGGGACCTGAGATGAATCATCGTGGAGATGGACTTGGACTTGACTTCCGGAAAGGAAACTTGTATGTCTTTGTTAGTAAAAGTAACTTAATGAAGATCCATGTCTTTCTTTGCTTCGGGACGGTAATAACATGTTGCGTGTCTCTCATGGGCATCCATATTAGACGGTGAGGATAAGAGAACTCCCGTTAAAGCGGCACTCCTCATGTCGAGTCTGACAGCACGGCAACCTTGCTCCAGTGGGTGGCTCCCTCTAGGATCCCGTCCCCAGCGCCTCGCTCGGCAAGCCGCTAAGCTTTGCGAGTCCAGCTTGGATGAAGCAGCGAATCACGGATCGAGCCAGCCTCGGCTTCAGGGGCAAGTCCCCAGGGTGCAGGGATCGATTGGAGGTTCACTCAGGGCGGCGCACACTGTGGGCGCTAGAAGAGGGTGGACGAGCTGCATCGAGATTGGCTGGTTGCCCCTTGCGCCAACGTCGACGCAGCCAGAGGCAGCCTCCATCTCAGCCATTTTCTGCAACCACTCTCAGTCGAGTTTATCTGGTGTGATGCAATCTGGTGATGATTATCGAATGGGTTGCAGAGAAGAGACGACAGCTGCAGAACAAGTTCAGCTGGCTTCGCGCACGCGGCATCTGCGGGAGTGTGAATGCAGGCGTGGTGTTGTCGTGTGGGTTCGAGAAATTGCGGTCCAGTCGGTCCAAGAACAATCAATTAATTGCTGTCCAGGGGGAGACGCGGCCTGTTCCTGTTGCCCATGTCATGTTCGTCCCGCGTATTGGAAGACCGAGCCAATGTAGAAGCTCATTTCCCGCCGAGATCTGACTGTGCAAGCATGCATTGGCAAAAGCAGCATCACAGGTAAAAACTTGGGAGAGGGTTCAGCGCACAGTACAGCACTGTTATGGAGTGCACACGCTATTCTTGGTGGTGGAGTCAGGGGACCTGTTGATCCATCCATTTCCATTGCTTCCTTCCATGCTTGATTGATTGATTGATTCACCGATCAAGCTAAACCCCAACCCCCTTTTGGATGAAAGTAACGGGACGCTTTCATCCATTCATTCATCCCATCCCCATCCCCCCTTCCTTCCTCCAGTCTCGCTCGCTCGCTTCGCTTCGGTCTCGGATTCGTGGAGTCGCTCGCCTTCTTCGTTATCGAAGGAAGGAAGGAACGGTAGAGTTCAGTTCCATCCTCCATTCTATCCTTCCCTGCTCTCCCGAAGTGCAGTGCCCGTTACTTCTCCATACCTTACCCATTTTTTATCACCACCGATTCACACTTCCGCATCATTATTCTCCCCGAGACTGTCGTTGACCGACTCTCGAGTCGTCGTCGTCCCTCTCGGCCGCCCGGAGATCTTGGCGCTACTGGCTTGTCGCCCCTGAACGCCCCCGAAAGACGCCAACCTTGTGGGGGAGCCTTGGCCGTCGATTCCAAGGACGACACACCTGCATTTCGACCGGTCCCGCGTGGCGTCCTCTATGAGACAGGCGACTGGTGCTTGCTTGCTTGTTCCGTCTCCCTCCATCGCTGCGCAGTGGCACCGGCACCACCACCTTGAGCTTCCGTTCCTGTCTCCTCTTGACTTCCTTTCACCATCATGAGCATCAGTGCGGGACGCAATGCGCCGCTATCCCCAGTCTCTGTAGTCGGTAGCGAGTTCTCAGTCTCAAAGTACCAGGCTGCCGACGACGGCCCCTTTCCCAACGGTCGATCCAACCTCGCCTCGCCCCCGAATTCGGGTGGCTCCAACAGCAACATGAGCATCAACGGCTTCGCCAACGCTCCTGGTCCCAGGAGCACCGGTGGTCCCTCACCTCCCGCCTCCATCGCCCGATCCAGCAATGGCACAAACATGTACGCTCGCAGCGACAGCGGCCGCAACAGTGTCCGCGGCGATCTCGATGAGGCCACCCTCAGTGAACACTACGTCGCCTTGCGCGCCTTCCTCAACACCCGTGACCCCAATCACAAGCAGCAACCCAACAAGGCGCGAGACAAGCTACTCCGTCTCTCCTCCGTCCAGTTCTACGAGCTCAGTACCGACGTATTCGACGAGTTGATCCGGAGGCAGGCCGCCGCCAGAGCCCCCCCGAACGCTCCCAGCGGCCCTCCCGCCTTTCTACTCCCCGAAAAGAACTTCCACCCGAAGCGAAACCAGGCTCGTCAGAGGCTTTCTTCCTTAGGTCCACCCCGATTCCGCGACCTCGCGGCCGATGTCTACCACGAGCTCGAACGCAGATTCCCTCGCTTCGTCGGGGCCGACCTCCCTCGGTCAGGAAGTCCCATGTCTATCCGGGGCGCTCCCGCAAGCCGCTCGGGCACACCGGTTAATGGTAATGGATTTCCCCCAAGGGGTCAAAGCCGCATGAGGAGGCCCTCTGATGCTCCATCTATGAGAGGCCCTGGACCGACAGATGCTTACGGGTTACCATCACCAGGTGCCCCCAATGGCGATTATGGAAGACCGACACCAAAGCAGCTCAACCAGAATAACACCATAGTTCCAAACAAGAGTACCATGCTAGAAGAAGACGACGAGGGTGACGGCGAAGGCGATTCATTTGCGCTAGAACAGGTTACGGACAATCGCGAGAGCAAGCGGAGTGCCGAGAGCGGTGTGACCTCGGAAGTGGGTGTTTTGGCGATGTTTGCCAGCAGGGCTCAATGGCTAACCATTCGCAGGCCGATAAGAAGCTCATCGAAGACTATCAAAACCAGGTACGAGAATTACGCGAGAAGCTTGACGGTATGGAGGATGCTATGAAGAAGAAGGAAGAGGAGATGAACATAGCTCTGGACCAGGAGCGGTCACGAGCAACAGCAACCAGTCTCGAGAAGCAAGAATGGAGCGATCTCCGGCTCAACCTCGAGAACAAGCTGGCTGAGGCGCAAAATCTGAACGACTCGATGAAGCAAGAACTGCAGCGTGTACGGGATGACCATGAAGACGAGACCCAGAGGCTCAGGGATGAGGTGGTTGCAGCACAGAGCGCACAACCCACCAGAAGCATTGAACCCGGTGCTGCAGACTCGGAATTGCAGCGAGAGAATGAGGAGCTCCGACATGAGCTCCGGGAGCAACAGCTAGTAACAGAGGAGGTCCGGAAAGAAGCTCAAGAGTTTCTGCAAGAGATGCGGATCCTATCCCAGCAAAGTGGCTCAACATACGAACGACAAGCCGAGCTCGAGAAGACGATTGAGCGCCTTGAACAGGAGGTTCACGAATGGAGGAACCGCTACGCTCGCGCCAAGACGCAGCTCCGACATATGCGCTCATCGTCTGTCGGTATTGGAATGGAGTACGACGCTGCAAAGCACATCCGGGAGAAGGGATTTGTCGACGAGCATGGCCTTATTAAGGATGTCCACGTTACAAAGTTCCAGATCGCCGTTGACGAGCTCCTGCAGAAGGCACGGGCTGACGACCCAGAGAAGGTGATTGATGCTATGAAGTCAGTCGTGGTCAGCGTCCGTCGCATTACCAAGGATATCGAGGGAGCCCAGAACCATGATGAGGAGTTTGCCCAGCAGCAGGCCAAGTTGAGGTCCAAGGTCTCATCTACCGCCAACAGCCTGATCACAGCCTCCAAGAACTTTGCCGCCGGTGCCGGAATATCCCCCGTCTCCCTGCTCGACACAGCCGCTTCGCATCTCTCGGCTGCCATCGTGGATCTGCTCCGCCTGGTCAAGATCCGGATCACTCCAGCCGAGGAATTGGACGACGAAGAGGAGGATGGAACCATGACACCTGTGGACTCGAGCGGTCTCTTCTCCCCCGTAGGCAACGGCCCGGTTTCCGCTTCTCAGGGTACGCTCCCCCCGGCTCGACCCTTCCAAGGCCTCGGCGCCCGTGGTAGCGTAGACTCATCGGCCTACAGCCCTATAACTTCCCCCCGGCAGTCCAGAGATCCCTACTCTCATGACAGGTCCATGTCCAAGGATAGCGCGGTACCAATCGGGCTCGGGTTTCCTGCGGTCCCAAGCGGCAAGCCGGTCAACGGACATGCAGCACCCCAACCGGATCCCCGAGCCGCTGAAGATCTCAAGGTTAGTGTTCCCTATTAAACAATGATAAGCAGCTAGCTAACTTGTACCTCAGCTCTACCTTGAAGATCAGAATGCCCTTCTAGCGGGCGATGTCCAGAAACTCGTCAACACCATTCGTGGTGACGCCGATATGGATCAGATCATGATGGATATTGGATCTATCTCGGGTATTGTGGGCAGAATCATCTCGGACACACAATCCTCGGGCTTTGCCGAGATGGCAACGCAACTCACGCACTACAGAGCTCGACTCCTTGAGTCTGGTGACCAGGGCCAAGATATGGCTAACATCGGCATGAACACCAACTCTCACGAGTGGCGCATGTGGGTTCAAACACTACCTCCTATTGCGTTTGAGATGGTACGCGAGTCCAAGGAGCTGGTGCAGCAGCTGGACAACGTGGCCAGGTCAGGGAGGGCGGATGACTTTTCGTAATTACCTTGCAATTAGCCGCTGAGATTCCGGATTTCGCCTTTGACGAACGGAAACGCGCTTGATACCCCCTGAGTGCCGACTTTGGCATCGGACAGTCGCTTTGGCTGTCCCAGTTTCTCATCTTTGGATTTGGTGGACAAGGCCGGGGGTTGATGTCGAGGGTGTCTCTCTGAAAGACGAGACAGGCGGATCAAGGAGGATAAATGGAAGGGACTGTTGGGTAATGTGTGCACGCAGGGAAGCATGGATACGGCGTTGGACAAGGCGCTGCTGATGACGCATGGTGTGAAGACATAGATTCTGGCAGTCCGTATATACTGGCCGTGGTGGGCTATCAGACAGAGAGGGTCAAGACTTATGGAAGCGAACAAGGAGGGATTGTCCTTTTTTGTTCAGACAAGACGATACGCGGACGATGATAATAGAGATAGATGAGAAATGGAGATGTCTGTCTCAAATGTCGACTGCAACTGAATATGTGGGAAGTGTGTCATGGTGTTTGTTAACGAATAGAGAGCATTGATATACACCATATTAACACGTCAACTTGCGTATCTGGGTTGCCATTCTGGCTATTCTTAGTAAATCCTCTTGATAGTTCATATATAAAACCCATCATAAAATCATCAACTTTAAGATAAAGTCTCTTCTTGTTTCTTTAATCCTTATATTAAGCCTTAGATGAGGTTCTTGTATATATCTCATAAGATGTAAAAATAGATGCCCAGGCAAGTGTACTTTAAATACCTTTCCCAGCACCTTACCCAATCATTCAACCAAGCTGGTGTGCCAAATAACTATCGCGTCCCTCTTCCACAGCACCCCAAACATTCACCCCTTTTATTTTTTTCGTCACAAACACCCCTAGTTTCGCTCTCCATTCATGGTTCCGTAGCTCTGCTGCGACTTGCCCTTACTTGAGGGCTCAAAGTCCTCATCTTCAGAATCCGAAGCTATGGCAGAGTCGTCCGGCAGCAGCAGCGTGCTGGAATCCGTTGACTCATCATCTTCGGCATCGCTGCTCTCCGCCGAAGCAGTAGGGCCCTTGCCATCGACGGCCATATACGCCGGGATTGCACCGAGAATGGCCACAAACATGAGGTAGAACCAAGGCGTGACCATGTAGCCGTTGTCGGCGCCCCAGGTAAAGACAGCGCCGGTTGAGGCCGGGCCTAGGGCTCGGCCGATGCCGCTGAAGGTGGTGGCGTATCCGTTCAGGGTACCCAGCACGCGGAGCGAGGTGCAAGAGTTTGTGAGGAGGATAGTAGTTGAGGGGAAGGCAACGATAATAGCGGCCGCCTTAATCAACAGAACAACCAAGAGGGCGATGAGCCTACCCTGGGCCGTTGGGAAGAGCACACAGTACGGGGTGAGGAAGTACACAAGGGGCATGAGAAGACCTGTAAGAGATTAGTATCAAACCACACTTTGTATGACGCTTATGACTTACAGCAAACTCTAAAACATCGCAGAACTCCGAACCGAGTCACGATCGGGGGGTAGAGCAGGAATTGGATAACACCACAGACGATGCCGTACAACGTGAAGATCAACCCGATCTGGCCGTGTTCCAACCCAAATCCTCCAGAAAAGTAGAACGGGAACTTGAAGTTTTCGGGGGTCTTGTCCTCAACCGGGTGATACAAGAAGACGCTGAGGACCTGATCATAGGCAACTGAGTGGAAGGCCAGGAAGGAATAAGCAAGGAGGTTGATGACGGTCTGGCGAGTAAAAACGCTCTCCTTGTGCTGACCATAGGGCTCGTGGCTGTGCTTCGTTGGGATCACCTTGCTAGGGAGAAGAGGGGCAGTAGCCTCTCCATCCACAAAGGAAGCTCGGCGTGTTGAGGGAGCCGGGGGTGAGCGTCTCAAGGTGCGCTTGATGCGATCACCAACCAAAAGACCCCAATCCCGATGACCTCGCTTGCTTGGGAGTGTTTCCTAGGCCCTGTTAGTCTGAATAGCTTCACCAAAGAGTTCGACTTACATGGAGAAACAGCGTTGCGCTGGTGGCGGAGATGAGGAAGAAGATGGTCAATACCAAGTTGGGAAGGGCAAAAGGGAAACGCTTGAAAAACTCGATATTTCCAAAGATGGCTGGGTACTGCTTTGCCGGTTCAGCAAAGAAGCCTCCGAAGCTGGGACCGATGACAGAACCCAAACTCCAGACTAAAGGCATGATACTGAAGGCTCTGGGCTGCAGTTCCCTCTCTGGTACCATCTCGGCCACCATGGTTCTGATGATACCAACTAGAAGACTGTTAGTTGAGAACATCAACTAGAAGAGGCACACGTACCATTGCCGTTTCCACCACCCTGGATAGCTCGCACGATAATGGCCATCGGCAAGCTCGTAGACATGCCCCATATCACAAAGCACACCATGGTACTCAAGAGACCGGTGATGATGGTGGGCTTCCGACCATACGTGTCAGATGCCTTTCCCCAGCCAACAGCGGTGATGCTCTGGGCGATGGAGAAGACACCCGAGGTGATACCAGCCCAGCGAGCGACCTTGTTTGTCTTGACACCGAAACTCTTGACCATAGAGGGGAGGTATGGAAAGACAGAGGTGTAGGCCATGGGCTCGGCGATTCTGGCAACGGCTATCGGCATGTTAGCATATACAACGGATGAAACAGAGTGTACCTGTGAACCGGACCATGATGTCCTCAAGAGTCATGTTTGGAACCATCCTGCTAGAGTGCCTCTGTGCCCGATGAGAAGTTATTCTTGTCAAAACAAAGGGACGGTGGTACGTATTCGCACTGGTAGACAAGAAGACCACAGAAGGAGCACAGTCATGATTGCAGAGAATCGTTCGATTGTGTACCCAAGCACTGACCTCGGGACGCCCACTTGGGAGTATGACTAGGAATAACTATAGTAGCGACAGAAACGACTCTGATACTTACCCAGGATCGCCAGCTGCTGGACGGGCAGCTTGGGCTTATCTTTGGTCGTCATTGTCATGGTTCGATGGTGCAAGACGATCTGGGGGCCGCGGGTGGGGAAAAGCGCGGATCAGATTCTGCCAGTGCTTGTAGCAGTTTGTGTAAGTTGTACGAAGCGTAGTTGAGAGGGAAACTGTATTAGGCTTCGATGTTCTTTCCAGAGCAAAACACGCCGGCAGTCTGAACCTTCAACCGAGAAGAAAACAAGACGAGGTTAAGTCAAGGCAGACGGAGAATGAAGCCAGGCCAAGGTATGGGTCACAAAGATTCAGGTGAACCTCTAGTTAATAAGCCAATGCTGACCAGAAACGGGTTGGCCCAGCCCGTGCCGTGCAGAAAATGTGCATCTCTCGGGCAGATCCACCCCGATCCAACCCCCCAAGGTCGACCGCGAGACGCCGCGACAGGGGGATCCTTTGGGCAATTCTGCGGACAAGGGCCGATCATTGGAGAGCGGCAGCTCGTCTGTGGGTGTGGAGGGTCCGGGAAGGAAGGGTCACAAGCGCGCAGCCCGCATACAATGGATATCGGCCGTAACGTCCGTCCATCGTTGTGTGGAACGCCTTTCGGCTGTTAGTTCAAGTCGCCGTTTTTGAGGCCAGCAGAGGTTCCCCGCGCGAGACAAGAACAAGCGAGACATTTGCCGTGATATGCGAACCATGACGCATAGGATCTCGGACAAGAAGAGGGCCCCTACACCGTCACTTGACCATGTAAAACATCACGGTCCGGGGCCCTTGTTGAAAGTTCCAAACTTGCAAGTGGCGATTGTCGGTGTAATCTGATTTTTCTGGGGCAAGCCCCCCCCGAAAGCGGACCTCCATCTTCGGGTTTGACATGGGAAAGACCGCCAGGGTGTTGGTCATCCACCAGCCCCGAACGCCTCCCCGCCCACCCCCGCTTGTTGCCCGAGCCGGGGAAAAGTGCTCGGCCGGTTGCCGGTCGCCTATGGGAATGGGAATGGATCCTATCTTCAGGATATATACGGAGTATATCTGCTTGAGCTTATCATAATATTGAGAACATCTCAGTTATATACATGGTGTCAGTGACTGTGTGCATGCATCCCAAGCCACAAGTCTTGTCAAATTCCATCCTAAGACTGAGTGAGTGGCTGGTGAAGGGCGGTACCACTTTCTACTCTAAGCATCTGGCTGAAACCCTGCCGCGATTGGCCAATAAGCTCCCTCCCGTTGAAACGTCATCGCCCATCACATCACGCCTTAGCTCTCTTAACTCTCAAGGTCCAAGCCCGAAGTTCTCTCACTTCAACTTCCAACAACAACATCAAAGGCCATAGATACGCGGCCACCATCGGATGACGGATTTTTAACGACTTCTGGAGCACTATCCGCGAGGACGTCTTCACCATGAGCAACCTGTGAGTGCTTTGGAACCTGATAAGCTACGCCCTCCACTTTCCGGCTGTCGTCATCTCGAGCTCGACCTCTGCCCCAACTCTAGGTCAACATTTACTAAACCCCGATTCTCAGCTCTACTCCCCAGGAGAAAATGGCCAACGAGAGGACCCCTCTCATTCAGACCGTCCAAGTCGGTCCTCCCAGGAGGAGGTACCCACACCAGACCTGGCGTCGCTTCTTCACTATCGCCAGCTCGGTTGTTCTTATCTGTGGTTTCGCCTCTTTCATCTTCCACGGCCTGTTCATCTGGCCTCATCGCTACCACCGTGGTCAACCCGGTGGCTGGCCTCACGGACAGCCTCTAAGCCGGGAAGACCTGGACCGGATCCTGTTCGATACGCCTGACCCTAAAAAGGCCGAGGAATGGAGCCGATACTACACCTCAGGCCCTCATCTGGCGGGTAAAAACTACTCTCAGGTAAGCAGCTATACCCCCACCACCCAAAGACTTGAAGCTCATATCTCCTAGGCTGAATGGACAAGAGACCGCTGGGAGGAATTCGGAGTCAAGTCAGAAATCGTCTCTTATGATGTTTATATCAACTACCCTGTCGATTCGAGCGTCTCTCTCTTGGAGAAGTCCAAGGACGGAAACGACTGGACTGCCACCTTCAAGGCTTCCCTCGAAGAAGATGTCATCTCCGAGGACCCCACGACATCTCTCGAGAACCGCGTCCCCATCTTCCACGGCTATGCTGCCAGCGGAAACGTCACTGCTTCCATCGTCTACGTCAACTACGGCACCTTCAAGGATTTTGAGGATCTCGTCGAAGCCGGTATTGACCTCAAGGGCAAGATCGCCATTGCCAAGTATGGAGGAATCTTCCGTGGCCTCAAGGTTAAGCGCGCTCAGGAGTTGGGCATGATTGGTATCCTCATCTACAGCGATCCCGGCGATGATGGCGAGAGAACTGAAGAGAATGGATACAAGCCTTATCCTGAGGGACCTGCACGAAACCCAAGCAGTGTCCAGCGCGGAAGTGCAGAGTTCCTGAGCATTCGACCTGGTGACCCGTATGTCCCCCTGCACTGGACGTCGAAACGTGGACTGACTTTCTAGATCTACCCCTGGATATCCATCCAAGCCTGGTGCTCCTCGCGTCCCTGTCGACGATGCTACCCCATCTATCCCGTCTATCCCAATCTCATACCGCGACGCCTTGCCTATTCTCAAGGCTCTCAATGGCCACGGTCCCAAGTCTAGTGACTTCAACCAATACTGGAACAAGAATCTCGGTTTGCGATACAAGGGCGTTGAATACAACATTGGCCCTACACCCGACGACGTTGTTGTTAACTTGTACAACGAGCAGAAATATGTTACTACCCCTCTCTGGAACGTCATTGGTGTGGTCAACGGCAGCATTCCGGATGAGGTCATTGTTGTCGGAAACCATCGAGATGCTTGGATCGCCGGCGGAGCTGGTGATCCGAACAGTGGCTCTGCTGTCATCAATGAAGTCATCCGTGGAGTTGGAAAGGCTATCGAAGAAGGATGGAAGCCCCTCCGCACGATCGTCTTTGCGAGCTGGGACGGTGAAGAGTACTCTCTCATCGGAAGCACTGAATGGGTTGAAGAATTTCTCCCATGGCTTTCGGGAGCTAGTGTCGCCTATGTCAATGTTGACGTTGGCGTGGACGGCCCTGAATTCACCGCCTCGGCGGCCCCTCTTCTTAACCAGGTTATCCGCGATGTCACGAGCATTGTTCCCTCGCCAAACCAGACTGTCCCTGGACAGACGGTTGGGGATCTTTGGGATGGCAGAATCAAGACCATGGGTAGCGGTAGCGACTTCACGGCCTTCCAAGACTATGCAGGTATTCCTAGCATTGACTTTGGCTTCAAGTACAACGGCCACAGCGCTGTCTATCACTACCACAGCAACTACGACAGCTTCTACTGGATGAGCGAGTATGGCGACCGTGGATTCAAATATCACAGAACAATGGCCCAGATCCTGGGTCTGACTATCGCCAAACTGGCTGGCAGCATCATCATCCCCTTCAGCGCCACCGAGTATGCTGATGCTCTGGATGGCTATCTCAACAAGGTGGAGGCCAAGTTTGAGCCCCTCCCCGAAAACCTCAGCGGCGACAAGCTGTTCGCTTTCCGAGGCAGTGTTTCTGCTGGTGCGGTTGTTGGCAGTGAAGACGAGTTCAAGGAGAGCCTGAAGGGTATTCGCCACTCACTAAAGAAGTTCCGCCTCAAGGCTGCTGAACTCGATGAAGAGGCCGAGGCAGTCACTCGTAAAATTGAGGAAGGCATTCCATGGTGGAACATCATTGAGAGGATCCGTCTGGGGAAAGCTGTTATTAAGCTCAACAAGAGGTACAAGCTACTCGAGAGGAGCTTCCTCTACGAGGGTGGCCTTGATGGACGAGACTGGTTCAAGCATGTCGTGTTTGCACCCGGCCTGTGGACTGGTTACGCTGGTGGTAAGTACTTGACTAATCTACACTTTGGAATATCCCGCTAATCACATGAAGCTGTCTTCCCCGGCTGGGATGAGAGTATTGATGCCAAGGACTATATCAACGGTCTGAAATGGTCCAGCATCATCGGCCGCTGCATCCACCATGCTATTAAGAGCCTGTCAGACTGAGCTCTTTAGTTGACAAAGTCTGGCTGTGTCTCTGGATCGACCACGGATACCATATAGCGCAAGGTCATTTGAGATGTATGATATGTGCAGGATAGATTGATGATTGTCCTCGAGCCATGTAACGTTTAGCTTTTGACCTTTTCACAATGACATGTGAAAGAATGTGTTGGGCTAGAGAATCTAATAGCGTAGATAAGGAGGGAGTAGTGAATCAAAAGCAGAACGAATAAGTCAACCAACGTACCTCTACCGGAGCTTAATTGCAACTGTTAAGTAGTGCGAGCACGTAGCTAATTGTGGCACGTCGTGATTCAACCAAGGCGCACAGGCAAGATCTCAACCAAGCCGCGTTCGAGATATCATCTTACCCACACAATTATCTACTATTAAGATAGCAATTAAAAAATTATACTGATATCTCCATTTTGAACCTTTGATAATAATCTTAGATTTAATGAAAATCATCTATTGTGAGGTAAAATTATTTATATTTCTGCCAATTTATTTCCCCTTCATGGTCAGTCTCTCCAGGGTATTTGCAGATTCCCTCATCTGAACGCCTACGCCGAACCGTCCAACCAGGGTGTCAAACTTCCGCTGCTGGGAATCATCCTTGGCGGAATCCCTTGTATCTGAGGGTATCATGATCAGCATTGTCTGCATTGGTGGCGTCGAAACATGCCGAGCATCACATCCCGGTATCTGACAGTTGTTTTGCATGGATACATCTAATGATCATCACATATCACACATGGAGCTGAACAAATCCTTGTTTTTATCACTTGCACTTTTGCCCAAGGTGCACTTTTTTCTTTTTGGTGACGGTGATGTATTCAATCTTGGCTTACTACCTTGATGATCAATGCCGTACAATATGAAATAAAAAAGGTATAATAAATCTGATATCTTAACAACATAGAAAACGAGTTGAAGCAGCCGCTTGGAAAAATGCCACGGCTGAAAAATAGGTATTTCGATAATAATAATTCCCGCTTCCTTGACTTTTCTCTCCTCAGTCGTAAGTTAAACCCAGTGAGTTGAGCTCATTGCTCCCAAAAATTTTCAACGCCCAGTATTCGAATGATGGATGCCCAAGATCGCTTCAGTGTAAAAAGGGGGATATCGTATGAGTACAGAGGTCGGTGCCTCGAAGAGTAGTTCGTAAAAGGGTTGGTCCGGCTTGACACCATTGGTGTCGGATTGGATAAAGTGATAATGATAATAACGATATGCCATGATGTAGGCCATGGCTTATAGTAGCAGGATGTGGTTGTGTACCACCCTGATCAAGAAACGTATGGTTAGATAATCTTTGGAAGAGCCATTTACATCTTCAGTAAAATGGTGAGGCTCTCCTTCGAGGATCACGGGCTCGGCGCCCTTCTCGGTCATTCCACTCCCAGTCGATATGATCCGGGTGTGGTCGTGGACGGGGCTCGCAGTAGTCATGCCTGGAGCAGCCATCCCATCTCTCGCATCGCCAAGGCACCTTGCGTTGGTCGTCAGCACTTCGGCTGCGCACTTGGTGCTGTTCGTGGGCGACAGAAGGGCGTTCGCGGAAGTGTTCCAGGTCGGCGTCCATCTCGCTCAGCCGCAAGCTTCCTCGTCCTACCCAGTTGTCGATAGTGTCGGCAATCTGGCGGAATCCTTCGGTGTGTCCGCCATCGTGGCTGGCCTTGAGGCCGCATGTGACAAAGAGGTAGCTGTGAATCATTTCATGTAGAAATGTCGAAATAAGTAGGCGACGGTTGTACTGGGTGTCTTTGAGAATAGGCGAAGACAACACAATGAGTGTCTCGAACCCGCTGACAGGGGAACGTCGCACAGCCGTGGTACCGACGATGTGTGCCTGATACTGGGCACTGGCAGGGTGACTCCAATCCCAAGCAACACGACCGGCGAGGGTGTTGAAGAAGAATAGTTCATTGGCGGCAGAGAAGATGCTGCGAAGGGCATCCTCATCTAGGGGAAAATCGGCGGCGCGAGACTTGGGGTTGATGAGAGTCCGGAGGATGCGGCCGTGCCGCGAATCAGAACGGCGATGCCGTCTGCGGTTAGAGCCTAAGCCGGCGACATGGTCCCGGACAAGGCGAGCGGCAGCAAGGTCGCTCAATAATGAGAGGCCATTGTCCTCTGCTTTGAGAGCAAGGCTGGCGAGTGAGTGCTGTGTCGTATCAGAAGAGACGGAAAGTCCGGACTCGGTGCGTTCCATAGCGCAGGCTTCGGGGACGGGTGCCGGGCCGAATGCAGCTGCTGGCGCCGGCCGGGGCTCGGGGGTCGAGCCAAAGTCGAGGCCGGCGTCAATAGAGGGGAACTCGTGATCCTCGGGAGGTGGCGAACGTTCGCGAATGACGAGAAAACCGAGCTTGTTGAGGGTCATGAGATCGGGGGGATGAATTGGCGGAGGAGTAGTCTCAATGTCGTCGTGGTGAGGAACCTCGTCCTCTGCAGGGGAGCTATAAGAGCGACCGTAGGGATAGTCGGCGTGTTGGTGGACGCCGCCGTAATGGGCCCGCGGATACCCATGTCGGTGATGCAAATGAAAAGGATAAGGGTAAGCGGGCGACTCATGACCGCTAGGTCCAGCTACGGGCGGAATGTTGTTGTTGTTGTATGCATCATCATATGGAAGTGCAAGTGCATCATCGATGTTGGTGTATTCGTAGTAGTCGTCGTCAAACCTCTTCCTCTTTGGACCGAAAGTGAAGCCATCGCAGCCATCCGAGTGGCTCACCCTCCGTTTGCCGCCGACGACATACGGGTCGGGGCCGGTAGCACCAAGCGAGAGACCCCCGTCATCCACCCGAAATGCCATGGGACATGCTCATCGACTCGAGCCGGGGTGGGTTAGATTGACAGGTGCAAGGGGGAGGAAGAGGAAGAGGGAGGGGGGGAAGGATGGAGGAAGAGGTCACATAGGGGGTAAAGGATGGAACGCCACTTTGTGATGGGTTTCTCTGTAAACGTTTGCGTTTGCGGTTACAGCTTCTTTCGTCTCTATTGAAACAATGGAGATACGATTCAGAATCTGGATTGTCGGTTGGTTCCCCCCTTTCCAAGTCAAGTCGGTGAGTCCGGAAGCGGATTCGGATGCGAGTGGCGGGAAACGGGAATGGAGAAGGACGCGCGTGAGCCAGCGGTTGGCGGTGGAAGCCGGGAGATCGGTTGTTGAGGGAGGGGAGAGAAAGACGAATGTGCAAAAAATGAGAAATTAAAACAAAGAAAGTGAAAAATGAGAAAAAGAAAAGAAAGAAGAAACGAAATAGATGGTTATGTTGGGAAATGCATGGGTAGTAAATGCAAAAGACGTGCGAAGAGCTGAGTCGAGTACGAATCGAATAACCTCGAGTTTCACCGTAAGTCTTGCTTGTCTTGGTTGGGGGAGGGGAGGGAGTCGGGATGGTTCCCAGACGGTTTTGAACTGGTTTAAACGTCGAGTTATGCAACCTTGAGAGCCGATCACAGATGGACACAGCACAAGAGAGAAGAAGAAGAGGGAAAAGGGACCTCAGGGCATAACAAAGATTGGGAGAGGGAGCGGGCTTGGTCTCCAAATAAGCCTCCCCCCCAACACAGGACAGGGCGACTCACTGACTGCACGCAAACAACAAGCCCAGGGCACTTGTCTTGACAGGCCCTATCATCCTTGTACAGTTGTCCGTCCTGTCTCTGCTGCTCTGCCTCTGCCTCTGCCTCTGCCGCGGGCTTCTCTTCTGCCAAATCACCGCGCTGGGGAATCCTTGCCTCGGGGGTGTGTGAGGCGCTGAAAGCGTGAGAATCACTGCTGGCTGGGTGGCTGCTTGCTGCAAGTACCCCCCTTCGGCTCTCTCTTCGACAGAGAGAATGACACGACACACACGAGCTTTTTACTCCAGAGGGCCCTATTATCCAGTCCAGGGGATCCCCCATTAGTGAGAGGTCCATCCCCCAAGATACGGGTCGCCTCACTCTTGTCGACTGGCTTGCTTTTTCCTCTCTTGATTCTTAAGCTGCGCTGCCCGGGCTCCGGGCTCTAATGGCGAACCGGCGTCGAGCGCTATGGCTATTGCGGCAGTGGCACCGGGACCTTAAAATGAGGAACCCTGAGGGGGGCTTGGGGCTTGGAAACATCGGGAATGCAATCTTGGGAGTCTGTTGGCTGTCGATGACCATGGCAAGGCATGGCAGCATGGCGGTGTGTGCCATGTCGCTAGGCGCCCGAGACGAGATGACGGCAGACCGAGAGAGAAGCAACCCAGCACACGCTATCAATACACTACAGTAAAGAGGCCATCGTCACCGCAGGTCAGCCTCGTAACCTGCCTGCAAATGGAGCCTCGGCCGGGGCAAAAAACTGACCTGATGTCGTCGACAGAAACTTGGAAGCCTCCCTTGAAATCTGTATTACAATGTACCCGGCCGAAACGGTCCAGACAAGGGGGTCCCCTCGCTGGAAGCCACGAGATGCTCGCTGCAGATGACCAGGGATCTTCCCTCCAGACTACCAAATCCAGGGCAATGGGCCACTGCTACACCAGCCAATATCAATCAGAGACGTCTGTCGTTCTCTTTCTCTTTTGGAAATCTTGAGCCGAAGGGGGAAAAAATCCCAGCGAAGATCCCCATGTCTCGGCTTTTTGCATCTCACTCTCAAAACCCCTACCGCCCATTCAACCAAAAAACCTGGCTTTTTACTCCGTATGATTCAATAACAAGGCGAAAAACATCTCCACCTGTATGTACACAGACCTGACAGCGCACACCTCCTCCGCCTGCTCCCCCGCTAGAAGATGCCATATAAACCCACTTCCCGCCAGGGGCCACCGTACCGGCGCCCGGTGCCTTGGACAGTAGCCTTTTGTTCAATCATCAAAGACCGGGATACCCTTTAAAGGTTAGCAAGAGTGCCTGACGTCGATACACCATGGATGCGTGCGTGATACAAAAAGAGGGGTGAAGCTGTATCATCCATTAAAAGATCGTCATTCCAACTTCAATGCTGGGCTTCACTCGCTCTCACGGCCCAACTCTGAGACGAGAGATATCAAAATATGAGGCCCTCTACTTGCCTATCTCCAATAATAGCCTATAACTGCCGTCCGTCCTCTGACCGGATTAGCCTCAGCTTCTCTAGCCGCGTTGCTAGAAACCCGTCTATTTCCTCTGGCGCCTCTGCCGAGAACCTGTCAAGCGTCTCCATCCGCATCATTGGTCCAGGGATGCCGTGGGAGACCCGTGATTGGTCGCCCTGTTTCTTCAGAAGGGCACCTGAACTTGGGCCCAGTCGTGGACCTTGGCGAGAAAGAGAAGAGAAGCTTCTGCGAGATGAGAGTTGGAATTTACAAATCTTTCTTTTTACCAATGGATCTCGTTCTAGTGGTTTTTATCGTCTTTCTAATCCTTGAAAAGTCCAGAGATGGTGAGTAGATGTGGAGAAACGGCAGCTAATGCGTCCCGAGACAAACCCAGAGATGGACAGATGCAGATGCTTTTCGAACTGAACTGACTCATAGCGTTGGATCGCAGTTGGGTTGAGATGCAGCATGTAATCGGTCATTCTTTTCTATCAATAGACACACAAACTGCTAGACAGCACAGCAACTCCTCTCTCTCTATCCAGTCAACTCTTCCTCGACAATCATCACCATCAACAAGCTCATCCACTCCTCGGCATCACCGCCACGCCCTGCATTGACCACATCCATCTCGCAGCATGCAAGCACCCTGCGCCGCCTATACTCTTCTAGCCTGATGCTTGCTTTGACTCTGTCGGTCGTTGGCCGCTTCGTCGAAGCCTGTCAACCAACTCTTTCTGCTTTGCCGCGCCGCCGCCTCATCTCCTCGACGTGGTCACTCTATAGAGTAGTGATCCTCATGGAGTAAGCCCTTTGGTGTGTGTCCAGACACATGAGCAGCTTGTCAGAGGACCTCGCCCTCTCCACCGACGATCGCTCGCTCGCTCTCGTCATCGGCAACACTCCACTGGAACTTTCAAGGGTCTTTGCCCTGCAGAGTGAACTGTTGATCCCATCTTTGTTTTGTCCGGTTATCACACATGCAGATGAAGCAAAAGACCGCTCTCTTATTATCCTGGACCCTTAATGCAACCTACAGCACCCACCCCCTCACTCTGCCAGGCCTAGCGGGGGACAAAAAACACCGAACCTGGCCCAACCATAGGACTCTACCTGCGAGTTCGGTGTTTTCTGTCCCCCGCTGGCAGGCCAAGACCTTGTACGAACCGTGCCTCGTCAGCCTGCCGTTCCAGAGCCTCCCGCATCCGCTGTGAATACACCCGTCTCTTCTGCTCATCCTCCGCAGCCTCCCCGGTCCTGTCCTCGTCAAAGTCCTCCGGCGCGAAGAGCGGAGCTCCCGTGAAACTGATCATCCCAAGCTTCTCACCCGTCCAGAACAGGAGGTTGTCCTCGTTGGGCCGGTCCGGCTTGGACCCCCGCTTGGTCGACAAGATCTTGCGTGCGAGGTCGTCGGAGCCCGGCATCGAGGCAAAGAGCGACGCCTGCGTCTGCAAGTCGCTGTGCCCGATCTTGATCCTTCGGCACTCGGTGTATCCGTCCCTCTCGAACCACTTGATTTGCCCGGCCCCGTCCGAAAAGGCAATCTTGGTCCCGTGGTTGATTACCGACAAGATGATGGACGAAGCCGCCGTGTAGCGGTTCTTCATGGTAGAGTTTTGCTGGACAGGCCCGTCGCTTGACAGGTCTACAGACCCCAAGCCATACAGCTCCAGAGAGCCCTTGGTCTTGTACTCTCCGCCGGCAATCAGTGTACGGCCATTCTCAGACGTCTTGCATTCTTCAACTCTCTCGGCCGAGAGCTCGCCCCGACGGCGCACCTCGTGATCCACAGTAGAGAAGGGGTAAGGCAGGGCTGCCAGGCTGGATAGCCTCGATCCTGAGTAGATGGAGCCCATGATCTTGGGAAACTGGCGTCGATCGTAATGCAGAATGTTGGAAAACCGTCCCGACACGTAGATGTCGTCCGACACCATCTCATCACCCGCTGGCCGGGGCAGGTGGAGAATGCTGGTCGGCGTTGGCTGAGACAGTGAGGCGTACGGCGGCAGTGGGTTTGGGTCAAAGATGGCCTTGAAGGGATTATCTTCCTCCAGGCTGCGGTCATCGAGACGCTCCACAACCTCATCGTGTACCTTTGATGGTGCTCGAAAGTCGTGTAGGTGTATGCCCAATGAAGTGCCGACTGTCAAGGGTACTCCGTCTTGGATCTGTGACAAGGTTGTGATGGACCACTCGAAGGAATCTCGCTTGACTACCTCAAGACGGTTGAGATCGACTTCAATGAGGTCTGGTAGAGTGTCAGAAAGATCAACGATCAACAGTTAATGGGGACCGGTACTTACGACTCTGCACAGCAAAGACAGCCTTGTGGTTGCTGTTGCTGACGCTAACACACTCTGTGACACCCGTGTCGATCTTCTTGGACCGCCTCGTGTTCTGGTTTCCCCTGCCGTCAAAGAAGAGAATGTCGGGTCTGCTCGTGGCCACGATTCCTCCCCTTTTCCCTCGGCTTCCGTTGACATCCCACAGACAGACAGACCCATCGTCCAAGGGGGAGACAGCCAAGATGCTGCCAAGACCATCGTCTCCGTTGTTTGGGTTGTAGAGAGCCATGCCCCTGACCTCGATGAGGTGCTGCAAACCTCCAACTCTGACACGCGGCGTCTCGAGCCAGTTGACACATGTCGGTCCCTGGCGTTGAATGTACTCGTCATACCACGAGACGTGCTCACCAGGGAATGCTGGATCCCAGTTGGCCATGTCCTGGAGGAACTCGAGATGCACCTTGGCTGGCCTTGGAGGTTCATCTGCGTCTGGGAGTAGATCATAGTCGCTTACATCTGGGCATTTAGCCTTGCCCAGCTTGGACTCGGCAGAAGTAGCAAAAATCTTCCGGCGGTTCTGGAGGAAGTGATACCATGGTGAACGCTCGAAACAGTGGCGTTTCCACAGCTCATGGTCAAGACAGACTTCTCTGAGTCTGCGTGAGACGAGTTGAAGCCTTGGTAGGTTGTGAGGTTCGAGATCTAAAGTGCCGGCGTCAGCAAGATGATAGCGGGGTACTGATTCACAGCTGGCAACTCACAGCAAAGGATCTGGAGCAGGATCTCATCCGGGAGCCCATCCCAGCGGCGCTCAGATTGAGTGGGTGAGGCCATGACGCAGGCTGCAGAGGAGCTCGGAGAACTCGGAAGATGGCAAGGCAGTCAAGAACTCGAGCGGACAAGAGAAACGAGAGTTGGGCTCGATGACAAAGTAGGCAGGGCAGACCAGGCTGATTGATGATTTGCGGGCGGAAGTGCGGGTGTTCCTGGGTGCGTGCTGGGCCTGGGTTGAAAAGGCGGGTCAGCTCGACAAGGGTTGCAAAGAGTCGCGATAAGCGATGGAGATGGGCCTGGACATGTCAATTAAGCGACCTACGGCTTACTTGTGCCTATCCCAATGCTACAGAGTGTCTATCTACAGGCTTCTTTATGAGTCTAGTCGAACGATGGCGTCTGATGGATCAGTCTCAAGAGGTCCGTCTCCGCCATCAATTGGTCAACCACGGGCATCCATCTTGAGACGCGGGGGTTAGAGCCTTGGTCCGGTTCCCCGCTTGGACGATCCTCACTCACAGACTCTTTGTCTCTACAATGGAAAAGAAACTTCAAGTCGGGGCTTCTCTTTCGATGCTTCCGAGACATGGAACTACTATGCCCGTTTCAACCACCACTAACAGCCACAGGGCCATGGGCGCTATGTGGCGTGCTAGGCCCGGATATCCCATATAGAATCTGCCAATAGAAGCCCTCGCCAACTTGCCATCACTGCCAGCCGTCCATCACTGTCAACGACAACTTGATCAGTTCTTTGCCAGCTGCCAGGCCACAGCCCGTTTCCATGGCAATAATGTTCAAAATACAGTAGCCCTAATCGATAGGACTTGCTGGCGACGCGTCTGCCTTAGGATGCCACACTTTTTCCCTCCCGCAATAACAAATCCCCCTCCTCCCCCAAAACATCCCCAACACCCTCACCTTTTCACCTCGCAAAACACTATCCTCTGCATCGCATCACGGTAACCACGGTTTCTCGCGCACCCTAGGTGTGGCTTCAACTAGGGCATTCGCTTCTTAAGAACGCTCTGGTTGGTTGCAGCTTCTAGGCTTATGCGATAATCCTATTGTGAGCGTTTCAAAGGCTCCTCAGCACGTTTTACTTTTGTCTTTAATCGATCCTATTTGAACCACCCTATTCAAAGCACCGGCAGATACTCTTTGTGATCATCTTCAAAATCCACTACAAGCACGACAGAGAGTCTTTGCCATCGTTTTCAAACCTACTTCACTACGAGCACGCAAGTGCCTAAAACTCCAATCATGAATCCCCATCACGAAAATGTAAGTTTCCACCTATTCATCGACCGGCGAGGCCGCGGCATGCTAACCTTTATAGTCGCTCCTCTCACCAAAGAGTGATCATTCGGGCCGAGGTGGGCGACGTGGTGGTAACACCACCGCTACCTCAGTCTCCTATCACTCGGACCCCTTTGCGAGCTCTAATCTCGAAGAGGATGTTCAAACCAAGGACTATTCCTATGTCAAGTCTCGTACTCCCAAGAGCGAGACTCCTCGCCCTCGTGGTTTCGTCAATGATCAGGGATCGCGGACTCCATCCAGCAATGTCAAAGCCAAGATGGCTTGCTTTGAGAGCCCCAACTCCTTCGGAGATGACCGTGATGATCGCGGTGATGATCGAGCCGCTTCCGAGTGGGAAACAGTCGCTGCAGATGATGAGTTTGCACCTTACCCAGAGGTCACAACCAAGGCCCAGAGACGCCAGGGAAAGTCGAACTTTGCTTCAGCTACTCCTTCCAAGAGTTCCAAGACTGATGCAATCGTCCACCCGCATATTATGAGCTGGGGACAGCCAGCGGAGTCTTCTAACCCTGTCTCGCGTCGCGATCCCGTTCGCCAGCCGTCGGTGCGACCAGAGCAAGCGTCATCTCCGCGTTTGCGCACTTTCCAATCCTCTTCTAGCCTCTACAGCGAGCTGGATAAGAAGGAGAGAAAGGGTCACAAGCAAGCTCTTCACTCTGACGGAGCTGAACCTGACACGACTTACTGCGAGGGAGAACGAGCTGAAGACGTTCTGCAAGATGAAGACGATCTCCCAATTCCAGAGGGTCTGCGAGTTCAGAATCCTGACACGCTCAAGAGAGCCTCTGCCATCACTAGCAGCAGCCAAGGCGACCCCTTTCACTATGACGGGGACAGGTACTCGGACTTTTTGCGCTCCTCAGTCGAACGGGACGTAAGTGATGCGCTACACCATAGCGGCAAAACTACCTATTCGAACTACAGCGTGCCACAGTCCCCTGAGAGCCACACTCCCAAGGGTTATCCGCATGGTGGTCATGTTGGCTCCTTCTACAACTCTGCGGCTATTCGATCGGCCTAGAATGTCGACGAACAGGTAAAGGTTCCCGTCGGTCGACAGCCCGAGGAAGAGCCATCCCCTGAGCCCATCCAGGACCGCCGACTGGACGGCGAGATTGTCACACTGCTGAAGAACCGGGCCGAGACTCAGGCGGGCACCGAGGCCGATTGGCAGACTGTTACGACCGAAGCTCACCCTTACGATTCGATGCGCCAGGAATTCCATGATAGCATCGCCAAGGGTACTGGAAGCAGTCTTGCTGATGTTTCCGACACGACGGAGCGGAACCATCACCTCTACGAGTATGGGTCCATGGACAGAATCATCCAGCATCCTTCTCGCGATGTCAACACCGGATCCTACCGTGTTCGCAACGACAAGCCATCCAGACTCCCAGTCCTTGTCCCTCAGGGTGGAGGACGTCCCGGGCTCTTTGCTCAGAATGCGACTCGCAACTTGGTTCAGTCACCACCCAGAACCCCTGCGTCCTTGGCAGGCTTGTTTCGTAAGGACGGACATGGACAGACTGCCAAGAGACGAAGTCTTCTCCTAGATGAGGAACGCCGTGACAGCTACCAGACCCTCAGTTCGGATGCAGGTCCTTCCAAGGCTCACGACAATGGTGAATCTTCCAACGCCGAGCGACTTTTCAGCTGGCCTCGAGTCAACAAGACCCTCGGACGGGAGCCTCCCCAAACCCCTCCTACCATCTTGGACAAGCCACTGTACAAGCGCGACTTCCAGGGAAGAAAGCGGCCTCACGTCCCTCATGACGCTTTTCTCAAGAAGACTGAGACAATCCACATGGACCTCATCAGTCTCCCTGAGGCAGCCATGCTCCAGCGTTTCCGCAGAGCGCGAGGTGAGGAGGACCACACTGTGACTGGTGCCGCGTTCGCCGCCCAGAAGCTTGGTGGAAGCATGAACAGCCCCCTTGGCAGTCCTAGCTCGGCCACGTTCCCTCTGACTCCTACTTCGGGATCTACTCTCCCACGCCCTGCTCCTGCGCATCACCCGGAGCGTGCCAACCACAACGGATTGTTCCGAAACTGTAAGTTGAAAACACACTCACCAACATTAACTATATACTAACTCACATACAGCGAACGAGCGTATTACTGAGATGCTTATCCCATCTTCTGCTATCCTAGGAAGCACCGGGACTGATAGCCGATTCGGCACCAACAGAGGATGGTGCGGTGACAACATTCAGCCCTTCAACAGCTTCAGTGAAGATGAACCACGGTTCAGACGCGGCCCGGCCAGCACCTTTGGCAGACGATCGGACAATGGACGCGGTGACCGCTCGGGCGTCGAACTCGTCGACTTTACCTGGGGCAACGTCCTCCGCCGTCGCCAGCAGCCTGACGACGCTGAAGACCACCGACAGAAGAGAATCTTTGTGAGCATCGTCATCTTGACTATCATGTTCCCCTTCATCGGTGTTCTCGCCATCCGGAACAAGCTCGATGCCATGATCCCCTGGGCCACTGAGGGAGAGATGCACACTCTCACCCCGACCCAGCGTCGTACTCTCAAGTACCTGCTTCTGGCTCTTGCTGTTCTGTACCCTGCTCTTATCACCGGACTTGTTGTCTACTACGCGGTCCACCGCCGCTAAATCGGAGAGATTCTGAGAGATCGAGAGGTGTTTGTATGGATTCGTTTTTGGGATTATCGATAATCATGACAGAAAAGCCTACCCAAGCAACGGGGGCTGACGACAAAAGCTGAGAACATGGGCATACGAGATGCCCAGTCAGAGAGAACATAGGCCAGACGACGTGGCCGAAGAGAACATGGGCGATGCAATATGGCCAGATGGTATGGCCAGATGACATTGACCACATAACATGGGCCAGAGAGTATGGGCGTGATGATTTCACAGACACAAGACCCCATATACACGGATCAAGTGATGGGGGATGAACTGGGTCGTGAGATATGGATGCCCCGGAGAGGCCTACTTTCGGTTCTTTTTTGATTGTATGATTTATCACGGTTGCACACGGGGACGCAACATGGAGGCGGACGTAAGGACGGACACAGGGGCGGACATGGGGATGCAACATGGGGACGCATATGGGGACGCATATGGGGACGCATATGGGGAAAGGGAAGCCAGGTTTCGGTTTTTTCTTGTTGTACGGATTTCTTTCTATGATGGCCACAAATGGGAGGGAGAGACGGAGAGGAACGGGCTTATCCCGAGGAATTATGTACTGAGTTGGTCTAGGGCCCATAGACGCGCAAGTTACCAGACTGCCGACGCATTCCCGTTTCCCGATGGTGATTTCCTGTGATCATGATGTCGCAAGTTGTGTTGGTCTCTCTCTCGTTTCATCAACTCCAGATGTAGGTCTCATCCTCATTTCTTGCTGTCAGAGGAGGTGTAGCTGTCTCCGCTGGGAGCAGTGTAGGTCGAGTCACCCTGGCCGTTGTTGTAGTAGGTGCTGCCATTGGGGTTGGAGTAGTAGTACGATCCATTGCTGGTTCAAAGTCAGTTGGTGTCTTGAGGATCAAGAGGGAGGCGTACGAGTTGGAGTAGTGGTACGAGTTAGAGTTGGTGGCACTGCTGCCATAGTCTCGGTCGCAGTAGTGGTTGCCCTGATCTAGCGTCAATCTCACCACCAAGATGGGATTGGGTTGGGGTGGACGTACCTGGCTGTTGGTGCCGGAGCTCTTGTATGTGTAGTCGTCAGGCATGATGATTTGCTCGTGTTGGTGATGAGTCGTGGAGTGTTATTGAGACGTCTGACACTGTTGGGTATTGTTAATAGGAGAAGATCGCTGTGAAGACGAATGAGCAAAGGTGGATGTGATGAAGCAAGAGGAAAGAGCGGAGAGACGGTCTGGGGGATGTCGTCCCTTAAGTAGCCGTGAGCCTGAGACGGTAGATCTCATCACAGTGAGGGGAAGACAGACCATATCAATCGTATCTTGCTCGATATCAGCAAAAAGTAAAGACAAGCACTCGCTAGGTCCGGGTGGTTTGCGTTGCGCCATTGGTGCCATTTGCCATCCCCCGCGGTTTGGGCTTGACGCTATCGCCGGCCGCGCCTGGGATGGAGGGGGAGGCTTGAGTTAGGTTCCATGGGCGACATGTAGTGCTGCGTGTGTCTGAGGTGATGATTGTTACTTTTTGGCTTGCTTGGGAGGATTGCGAGGGTTTCATGATGATGGAGATGGTGTTGGTTGTAAATACCTAGATGCAGATGTTGATGCCCATTGTTGTTGACAATAGGCTGGAGAATTGCGCACTTCGTATTGATAGACAGGGGCCGTCATGTTATCAGATTAGCATTTGATAGCTCCATCGTGGGAAACGTTACAGGAGTCACCAGCCAGGTACCCCAGCTCAATCCACAAACCTGATTGTCATGATGGCATCTCCAGGGTAGCCATCATCACCATCAACTTCATCAAGAACCAACATTTGCATCGGAAATACCGTCCCGAAACATGCAAGCATCCATTTTCCGAAGCGTCCCCCTGATCGCCAATCACCTCGTGTGGTTGCAGCAAATACCCGCACCTCAGCACGACATACCGTCATTGACGTCAATCCCGCTTACCAAGCTTTCCCACTGTGGGAAGCCTTGACGTTGGAATGAAGTGATGAACAACCCTCAGTTGCACCGCTGATTAGAAATCGTAGAGTAGCAGAGTAACATGTGAAATGGTATAAATTGTATTGTCTCGCTCGTATTTTGTTGGGTTTGTGTTTCCAAGACAACACTCTTAGCCCCTCATCTACTGTCAGAGAGCAGACATCAACCTGCAAGCAACAACATCAAGATGGCGCCCAAGATCTTTCTGTAAGTGCTACCCCATTGCTTCTAAAATCCAAGAATGTTCAACGGAAGCTGACTTGTTAATCAGAACCGGAGTCACTGGTATGACGCAGAGGTTCAATCATTGCGTCTCGGTTGCTAACTGCTCCCACCGCAGGCTTCATTGGAGGCGCTGCCTTTGCCAAGATCTACGAGAAACACCCGGACTACGAATACAAACTCTTTGTCCGTAGCGAACAGCGTGCAAAGGCTGTTTCCGAAAAGTACCCCGATGTCAAGTTCGTGTACGGCGATCTCAACAGCACCGATGTGATCGAGAAAGCGGCTGCTGAAGCCGACATCGTCATCCGTATGAACAACACATCTGCAGCATCGAGATTCCTAACTAACATTCGCTCCAGACACGGCAGAATCAGCAGACACCGTTTCTGCTGCCGAGGCAATCGCAAAGGGCCTCGCCGCTGGCCATACAGCAGACAAGCCAGGATATTGGATCCATCTGTCGGGTACTGGTATCCTGACCTGGTACGACTTTGACAACAAGCGTTTTGGCGAGGGACCTATCCCCGAGCAAAAGTACAACGACATTGACGATATCGACCGTCTCCTGACTCTACCGGATTCGGCCATGCACAGAGATGTCGACAAGATCGTTCAGGGAGCTAACTCGGACGCTGTCAAGACCATCATTGTCGCTCCTCCAACCATCTACGGAACAGGCGGCGGACCTGTCAACAAGCGCAGCATCCAAGTCCCCAACCTCGCCCACGCGAGTCTCCAACTAGGCTACGCTCCCGTCATCGGGGCGGGAAAGACGGAGTGGGACAACGTCAACATCAACGACCTCGCAGACTTATTCAGCAGATTCGTCGATGCAGCACAGGACCCATCCAAGCGGAGCAACCCCGAGATCTTTGGCCGTAACGCCTACTACTTTGCCCGGGGCGGCCAGCACGTGTGGGCCGACATTGCGGCGTGGATCGCCGACGAGGCGAAGCGTCAGGGGTACGCCCCGGATCTCAAGACAAAGTCGGTGCCGCTCGAGGTGGTGTCCAAGCTCGGGTTGGTGTCGGCCGAGTCGTGGGGCGCCAACTCCAAGGGTGAGGCCGAGAGGGCCAAGAAGTATCTGGGGTGGGAGCCCAAGGGGGTGCCGCTGAAGGATACTATTGCAGAGGTTGTGGCGCTCGAGGCAAAGAAGCTGGGATTGACGGCTAAGTAAGGTGTATTCTGGTGAAAACGACCTGTGAAGTCCACGGATAGGAACGCGGTGTCAAGTTGCTGGTGTCTCAGGGCATGGCGTTTATAATACCTGTTTTCGTCCTTCTCGTCTCGTGAGGGGTTAAAATTGCAGTGAAGCCTCGATCTACTACCCGTCCATGCATGGATATCTTGATGGAACATCACCGTTCTCGTCTTGTGAGATACTAAAATCGCAGTGAAGCAATGGTCTTGCACTGTTTCAACACCCATGAATAGCTTCAAAACTCTTGAATGGATTAAGGGAAATATGACTGCACTATCTGGCAGACATTGCATGAATGACAAACTCGTATAATTGTTTTCCGTCGTCAAGCAAGTCTCGAGTGATCGAGTTGCCAGTCATGCCCTTCGTTCGCCTTTGGCCCATCTGCTGCCGAACCTCCCTCGGAAGTCTGTGGCGTCGGTTGACTCGTTGGGCAAGTCGTTCACGTAGAACATTCGAGTTCAACTGTCAGCATCTTCATTAGTCTAGTGCCTAGAAGAAATCGATATCTTGTGGCGGCACATCCGACAACTTGGCTGCAGCCGTTGACTCGGAGCGTTTCCTCAACCAATAGCATCAGTCCGAAACCCAACCAGAATGATTTTTTGCATACAGCCTGTGTTGCCTCTTGAGAGCCCCACGAGTCAGAAAGTCCGCTGTGTCGAACGTTGTGGTTGCGAGCGAGTAAGTTGACCATGGCTGGCTGCTCCTAGCCGCCGCGGCTCCGAAAGCGGCAACTGGATTACACACACACGGCCTGAGGAAGCGACTCGCTCGCTACTCGGCGTTGCCGTTTTAGCCTAGGTTGTACTGCAGCAAGTAGTGATTGCCATCCCGCATGTAAGGAGAGGGGAAGAAGAAAAAAAAATGGTTCGAGATGCGGCTAATCCGTTCGTCGCCACTGGGTGTATGAATGTCTCTTTGGTGAGGCGGCTGGGAGTGATTGCTGTCACGAGAAATGGGGGTTCAAGAGCACTAGCCACGCACAAGTACTTACACACAAAAAATAACAGGAAAATATACCTACATACCTAGGTAATCATGAACTTTTTTGCTCGTGATTCAGCGACCGCACAAGGCCTCGTAAGATAGAACCTGACAAGGATGCCCGCTTCTTGCCACAAAAACAAACCATCTCCGGCTTAGAATTGCCTCGTCTCTCATTTCTCAACCATAAGCGCCCTCACAGAATCTTTCCGTTGCCCCAGGCGCCGCCGCAACGACGAGGAAAAAAAAAAAGAACTGGAGCCCTGAAAAACTCAGAACCTACTCAGGCGAGGAGACCATACCCTAATAGGCTTAGTGGAGGGGATCTCAAGCAGCCCACCACAGCCTACCATAGCCCCACCCGGCAGAAAAAAAAGTTCACAAGCCCAGGGCCCCTCCCGAATTTATTCTCAGCGCCCGCTCACAAAATCTGGTTGGGAGAATTTCTTTCTCGAAACCCCACGTTCTTCCTCTTTCCCTTCATCCTTCTTTCCTTCTTCACCAAAAGCCTTTCAGACTAGACAAAATGGCTGACGAAGTGTATGACGGTGCCATTGGCATTGATCTGGGTGAGTCTCTGATGTTTAGTTTCGCTGTTGTCGTTGCGGCTGCGACGTCGCCGTGATGATTTGTGCGCTCGCGATGCCCTCGTCTCGTCGGGCGTCAAAGGGCAAAAATCACACACAGGCTCAAAAACACAGCGACCATCAAAACTCTTCGACTATCGATGCTAACAACGTTCCCTCATAGGTACCACCTACTCCTGCGTTGCTACGTACGAGGGTACCAATGTCGAGATCATCGCCAACGAGCAGGGTTCTTTCACCACCCCTTCTTTCGTTTCCTTCACCGAGAAGGAGCGTCTGATCGGTGAGGCCGCCAAGAACAACGCTGCCATGAACCCCCGCAACACTGTCTTCGATGCCAAGTGAGTTTTTTGCTCTCGTTCGATCCGCGCGAAAAAAAAACACCATCTGACTGAAATTTTCAGGCGTCTGATTGGCCGTCGCTTCGATGACCCTACCGTCAAGAAGGACATCGAGTCTTGGCCCTTCACCATCATCGATGACAACGGTACCCCCAAGATCGAGGTCGAGTACCTCGGCGAGAAGAAGTCCTTCTCTGCCCAGGAGATCTCCTCCATGGTTCTCACCAAGGTAAGCCAAAATACCCCTCCATCACAATTTTCCCCACCCCCGCACTAGCGACGCTCGAGCAAAAAGTTTCTGACCCCTCCAAATAGATGAAGGAGATTGCCGAGGTCAAGCTTGGCAAGAAGGTTGAGAAGGCCGTCATCACTGTCCCTGCCTACTTCAACGACAACCAGCGACAGGCCACCAAGGACGCCGGTTCCATCGCCGGTCTCAACGTCCTCCGTATCATCAACGAGCCTACTGCTGCCGCCATCGCCTACGGTCTTGGCTCCGGCAAGTCTGAGAAGGAGCGCAACGTTCTCATCTACGATCTCGGTGGTGGTACTTTCGATGTCTCCCTCCTCAACATCCAGGGTGGTGTCTTCACTGTCAAGGCCACCGCTGGTGACACCCATCTGGGTGGTCAGGACTTCGATACCAACCTCCTCGACCACTGCAAGAAGGAGTTCAGCCGCAAGACCAAGAAGGATCTGTCCGGTGATGCCCGTGCTCTCCGACGTCTCCGAACTGCTTGCGAGCGTGCCAAGCGTACCCTCTCTTCCGGTGCCCAGGCCACCATTGAGATTGACTCTCTCTTCGATGGTGAGGACTTCACCATGTCCATCACCCGTGCCCGTTTCGAGGACCTCAACGCCAAGGCCTTCTCCGGCACTATCGAGCCCGTTGGCCAGGTTCTCAAGGATTCCGGTATCGAGAAGAGCGCCGTTGACGAGATCGTCCTTGTCGGTGGTTCCACCCGTATCCCCAAGATCCAGAAGCTCCTGTCCGACTTCTTCGACGGCAAGAAGCTTGAGAAGAGCATCAACCCCGATGAGGCTGTTGCCTACGGTGCCGCCGTCCAGGCCGGTATCCTCTCCGGAAAGGCCACCTCTGCCGAGACTGCTGACCTCCTCCTCCTGGATGTCGCCCCCTTGTCTCTGGGTGTCGCCATGGAGGGCAACATCTTTGCTCCCGTTGTTCCTCGCGGCACGTCAGTTCCCACGCTGAAAAAACGGTGGGGCGCTCTAATTCGTATCTTGTTTTCCTCTTACTAACAATTTTGATAGAACTTTCACCACTGTCAGCGACGGACAGCAGAGCGTTCAGTTCCCTGTCTACCAGGGTGAGCGTGTCAACTGCGAGGACAACACCTCCCTGGGTGAATTCACTCTTGCCCCTATCCCTCCCATGCGGGCTGGTGAGGCTGTTCTCGAGTGTGTCTTCGAGGTTGATGCCAACGGTATCCTTAAGGTGACTGCCAGTGAGAAGACCTCCGGCCGCAGCGCCAACATCACCATTGCCAACTCTGTCGGCAAGCTCTCCACCGATGAGATTGAGAAGATGATCAGCGACGCCGAGGCCTTCAAGACCAACGACGACGCTTTCCAGAAGCGATTCGAGGCCAAGCAGCAGCTTGAGTCTTACATCACCCGTGTCGAGGAGATTGTCTCCGATCCTACTCTGTCCCTCAAGCTCAAGCGAGGCCAGAAGGAGAAGATCGAGAACACCATCAGCGACGCCATGGCTGCTCTTGAGCTCGGCGACAGCTCTGCTGAGGACCTCAAGAAGCAGGAGCTCGCCCTCAAGCGCCTTGTCACCAAGGCCATGTCCTCCCGATAAATGCACAACACTGCTGAAAAGGATGGCAGCTGTGTAGATGAAAGGGTTATGGATGATGAGCAATGAGCCAGGCCACCCTCGACGCCTCGCGAGGGCATAGGCTTACGACTGGCCGAGGAGGTTTTCCTTTGTCATTACGGTAATTGGACAAGGAAATACCGAGGCATTTGAAAAGTTCTGCATGTTTGTGTTCATGGGTCGATGACAACGATGCCGCGCTCAGGCCTGGGCGGTCATGACATGAGAAGCTGCATGGGAAAAGCGAAGGCGGGTGCGGGCTCACTGGGCCGGGGGCCCCGATGAGTGGATGAAGGCCTGTGAATTTAAGCATAGACTCGGTAGAATGGAAAAATGGAATGATGCCTTTTTACCAACTTAATTTTGTTTGCCTCATGCTTGGTGTGATCTGTGCTGTCTCATGACTGACGGTTGCCCATGAGATTTGATCCATGGTGTTGAACAAACGGGAAAATTGTTAGTGCTTCAGGCAGGGCGCTGCCCCACAGCCTGCCCCACAACCCGCAACCTTGGTAGCCCGCCGCCTGGACGTCCAAAAACTTGAGACACCAGGGCGTCTGCACTCAGTGAAGAGTACTCACATAATAGCCTAATTATATACTAAATAAGAGATAAAAATAAGAAATAGTATCATAAGCCTTTGGTTATTTTATTGATTACATTCTGGGACCTTTTGTGTCTCAGAAAAAGAGATTATTGGCTTAGTCTGATATTTTTCTATAAATATGTGCCCGTCCCTTCAACTCCAAGTATAGGCTGGGGGCACATAGAAAATCAAGAGAATAAAAGACATGACCAGGAGAACTAGAAAATCACCAGAAATAAAGCACCTGAAATGCAATGCCCCTCTCCGAAATGTGCCACCCACCAACTTCCTCCTCACAACAACCTCGTCAACAATAGAGGAGACGAAGCAACCCCCAAAACTATACAAAAGGGAGCATCAAGCCTTCTCTCCTTGAAGGCATATCGATATATCGATATCGAAGCACTATCAGAATCATTTGCACGACCTTGCGCCCATTTCTGAGGGACTTTGAGCAGCCTTTACTCGATCGCTTCGAGGTTTCTGTTTTGCCTAGAAGCCATCACTGGTTTCTCGCCTTTGACATCACAACCCAATAACACTTGCGCGCCCAAGCTCACCCTTAACTTCATTGTCTCTGTCTATCCCATCTTCTACTTCTCTGCCTCTTTCAACCCTTACCGTCGTCTTCCCTGCTTCCCACGGCATTGCCGGAAACGACGCCACCATGGCTACGCCACCCACTGATCAAGAAGCATACTTCATTTCTACGTGCAACCGCATCCTCGAAACGACAGAACAAATCCTCGAGCAATCGGCTAAAGGGTTCGAATGCCTAGACCGCCTCCTGGCCTTGAAGCTGAGTCACCCCAACATCTTCAGCGAAGAGGATGACGCGAAGCTCAAGGCTGTGAAGAGAGAGAGTGACGAAAAGAAGACAGAGCTTCAAGATAACATCAACAAGACAAGACAGATGTTCTTAGAGCCGAGCCCGGATTATTTCCGGGAGTTTGGCCCTGATTTTGATCCCCTTAAGATCGAAGAGCACCTCAATCGCGGCCGTCAGGATACTCATGAATGGAATGAAAAGCTGCTCGCAGCCGAGCGCATAGTCAGAGCCAACAACCCGCAAATCGAGGTAAGTGTTAATAACATCTGAACCAACTTGGCCTCGCCGTTATTGACACTTAGCAGGAACTCCAAAAGATCCACTCCGACGACAAGGATGCTGCGACCCAGACAGAGACAAATGTTGAGAAGACACCCACATCATCTGGAAACTAAACGAGGAAGTACGGAGTCATGATGTGAATGTAGAGGATGGATCAAAGTAGGGAAGCTGGATGACACGAGTTGAGACATGCTCATGGCTGGCCTGCTGGGGAGACAACGCAGGTTATGACCATCAAGGTCTACTGCTATACGGACGGTCGGAATCATCTTGAAAGATGGATTGACGCTGCTGTCATGTCACCAAAGTTCGAGGACATTTTGGAAGGGTCAACTGACGACGAAGTCGGCTGTGGTCAGATGTAGTCGGCCGATCTGAGCACTTGAACAGCCTTGACGGGGCTCCCGACTAGAAAGAACACGAAATTATGCACACGCACTTTGATGATCACATTGGTGACTGTATTGGTGACCATGGCCGACCGCAATACCTTCTATGAAGTTTAGGTAGGGAGCAGGGGTTGACGATTAGTCGGTTGTGATCGCTTTATGTCGAAGCCAGGATCGTGGTTCCGTCAGTCATTATAGGTAATGTTCATTGTGGTCACCAAGGTCACTGTGGCCGCTATGGTCGCCGTGGTCGCTATGGTCGCCGTGGTCGTTGTGGTCGTTGTGGTCGTTAGGATCGCCATGGTTATTTTATCGTATGGACGTGTTTGGATTATCTCGGACTGATGAATTTCAGTATAAAATGAAGAGTATCTTAGGATGAGAATAGTACAAGTTTATTACAAGTCAGGAGAAACTCGACAGGTCTCCTCCCTAAATTTAGATTATCTCATCATAAGATACATATATCTATATATCACGCTGTCGAGTATTTGCTGAACCACATGTCCGTCTCCATCCGTGTCGAGGGCCCCTGACACTGACGTTTTATCCACTTGGTGTAAGTCTGTTACTGGTTTCCATTGGTGTCTCGATCCCCGTCTGCCGGGCGCCAACTGCCAAGCTTGATAGGATATGAAAATGACAAGATATATGCGCCCTGATGTCGATTTCTCTCAATATTTACTGTTACAATGGTCGCGGAACTCTGTGATCTCATGGAATGGACTTTTCGTGGATAGCTCGCCCTTAGGTAAACCGACGTGGGGAGATGGCGGGGACCCCAACTTTGTGTATTTAGCCCGCTTCCACCCAATCGGCGACTTGCATCTGACAACTACATACTCGCCACATGGTTCAGTTTGAATGGCATGCCTTCTTGAATCAGGATTGGAGTCAATACTAGGCCTCTTACTTCTCAATTTTCGTTGATCGAGTTCAGGGCACGAGCATGTCAGGCAGCCTGTTCTTGCGAAACTCACCCGACCAGAGGCAGAGGAATTGTAGTCATCGACTCTGAACTGAGTCATCATGACAGGCACTGAAGCCAACAACCTCACCATCCTCGACCTTCCTGTCGACATCCTGAGCCTCATCCTTCAACCTCTCGTTACAAGCGAGACGCCGATACAGCTCTGCCCATGCACACCATCGCCCATTAACCCAGTGTCTGTCCTCCTCTCGCATCCAGCATTGCACGCCATCGCGACCCCGTTGCTGTATGCGAGCAACGAGTTCGTGCTGGACGTGACGGGCCCTCATGCGCAACACATCCGCAGGGAACTACTCAAGACACCCGGATCCGATGAGCGGCTCCTCGGCCGGGCGGTTCTGCTGTCGACCCCAGACGCGTTGCGCAGGGTGGCGAGGATGCAGGTGCGGATAGACCGGCTGAGGGGTTGGGTGGGGGCCGGCGTGGTACCGCTGCTGGCAGAGCTGGCGGTTCAAGGAGGGCTGGACCACCTCACGGTGTGGGTGCGAACCCCCGGGGAGCGGAGGGCGCAAGTGCATGTAGCCCCGAGGAGGAAGATGCCCGGGGAGGAGGAGACGGACCTGCACATGTTTGCCCGGCCGCCGCTTGAGGGGCTACTGAGGGTGTTGGCGGACCCGTACCTACTGTCTGCGCGGCTGTGGGTAGACGCGCGGCACGCAAAGGCATGGTGCCGGTTCCACGCCGGGGGATGCGGCGCCGTGGCGGAGGGTTGGACCGGAGGTGGAGCCCGGGAGCCGGCGGATGCAGTGGAGATTGACTGGCGGCAGGTTCTCCGGGTGGTGGACCCGGAGAGGAAGGATATCGCTGTGGCAGTCAAGACAGAAAGAAGATGGTAAACGTCACTGCTCAAAGGTATTCTCGATGCACAAGCTTTCAGCTGAAGCCGATCTTTTCTTGTTTCACTTTCTTGTGGTGTAAGGAGAGGCAGGCCACAGTTGGCTGGCTGAAGCAGCAGTGTGTACGTGGCGTCTGAGGAGCGGCCAGAGACGGCATATTGGAAAGAGGGTGTGGGAGGAGCATTATAGTTACGGATTGCTGTTATCCAACATGGGAGAATAGGAGAATGATAGTCTATCTCTGAGATGTGTTCACATGTAGTATGCAGAGACAATCCAAGCTTTACAGATAGGATCCATGCGATTGGCAGCGATAGATCTACGACTATGCTGAACCGGTCCTTCTCGGCATCGATCTTCCAGCCGCATTCCATAGTGCACCAATCCTCTCTCATGTCTCTCCCTTACTCTCAAGCTTATTCGTCCCGAGACAACTCACACCTCGCATTCCAACGCGTATATCTCACACGTAGCCACACCCTCTGAAACCATGGTCCTACCTAGCAGCAGCGACGATCCAGAACTTGTCTCGTCCAGTCAAGACTCGCCTTGATATCCCCGAGGGTTGTCATCTCGGAACCCCGAGCCAACGCCGCCTCTCCGACCCTCCCGCCGTCAAGCCACGGTCTGGGGGATGACGTCTTTCGCTCTGCCCCCAATTGACTTTGAGGATTCCCCTTCTGTCCGAGATTGCGTCTCTCAGTGGTTGGATTTGTAGTGACATTCCAGTCCCCCGCAAATCTATCCAACGCCCAGAAAACCATCATCAGACAGAAAATCAAGAATCGCAATCTCCGTCCTTTCGGCGTTGTTATCTCCATGTTTCCCATCCTCTACTGCACGCCACCCCGTAAAAGCCAGCAAGCAAGAAAAACGGCCTTCCCCCTCCGCCTGGGGGAAATCTGAACCCCCATGTCCCGCTCCTCCCAGCCCACAATAAGCTGTGGTGGACAAAATAACACAGGCAGCCATAGAAAATCTGCAGGCCTTCATGCACGTCTCGGACGCCTCCCGAACTGCTACGTAAAGTACCGACAGGACGGAGCAACGAGAGAGACCTTCGAGACCCCTACACACAGGCATGGGGGGAGATTGGCGCGCATGCTCTATACTCTATAGGCTCTCGCTCCAAAAAGTGAGCACCCTTGCTCGAGAGATGCGACCTCATACACACTGACCGGCCTCCTCCGGTCGTTATGGCACGTTTTTAATCTTTGGTGTCGCTTTCTCGACTTTCACGTGGCCGGAATCAGAAAGAAGAAAAAAAGTAGTTCATCCTTTACGCCGGCAATGGGGTTGTGCAGTGAGATGCACTGCAACCCCCCTTTCGCTGGGCAGGTTTCCCCGGCAGTTTCTTTAGGTGCCGCGAACTCGTCGCAAGTTGATCAAGAGGGTGCACGTAGGACATGGAAAAGAAGCCATGAAATAAAAAGAGGATAGAAGAGGAAAGCGACGGCGCAGCAAACCCAACAAGATTGGAGCTGGCGTGCTTTGATCTGCCTTCTTAGCACATGACGCTAAGAGCTCGAACCTTGACCTATGAGCCTCTAGTAGTTGAGTTGGTTGACAAGTTGTGCATTGTCACAACAAACACGCGCCTATACCGCCATATTTCATTCGGGATAGTGAGTGCCGTGTTCACAACTCTCTCCAGGCACCTTGATGTTCACACACACATGCACATTTGATAGACTTTCTTTTTTGCTTGTTTCGGAAAGGACTGGAATCATGATTTGCCGCTACCAAAAGCTATGCAAGATTATCCAATTGCCCAAGGGCGAGGGAAAGAAAGGGATAGAGACAATGAAGCCCTCCACAGTCAATCCGCCCGCCCTGTAACTTTTCTTCTCCTCCTTCTCCTCCTCATCCTCTTGGCAATGAGTGTGAAGCTCAAGGTAGGAAAGAAAACAAATAGAGATGCAGAACAAAACCCCAAACCTCGCCCTCCTGATGAGCCTCTCTCAAGACTACACTGTTTTTTTGTTCATCTTCTCGTAAAACAGGATCCAGACCAAAGCCGCCCACCTCAATCCTAATCCCGTTTCATATCATTCCGTATCATTTCGTTTCGTTGGATTTTTTCCCTTCAGCCGAGCTGCAAGCTTCGTCGCTTACAGCCCACCCCCCACCATCTCAGATGGGGGGACTTTTTGTTTTTTCCATCACTTTTTTTTTGAGTAGTTTTTTTGTTCAAAAGTTGATAGGCATAATAATGCTCTCGAGAGCACAAAGTCAAGACGTGGTGAATCGAAGAGATAAAAGAATCGCTGCGCTATCGTAAAGAGTCGCCGGCCTAAAAACAAGGCCGCCCCTGAGGAGCCTGTCGAAGAAGCTCGTCACATGGCTTCGCCTTCAGTGGAGGATGACATCGTGAAAGTCGGCCTGGTTGTCACCGGCGTGCTCGCCGTAGTGGACGGGTCCGAGCTTGAGGATGCGGTAGCCGTTGGAGCTGCTGGAACTCGTGGATCCGCTGGAAGATCGTCGAGCGGCAGTGGGCCTGACGTGCGAGCGAGCGCTGGTGACGGGCTTCTTGGGGTACGAGGGAGAGGTGGCCGGGGCCAGCGAGAGGAAGTTGGACCGGGGAGCCGGGGTGAGGGGGAGGAACTTCTGAGGAGGAAGGCCAGACATTTTGAAAGGGAGGTGTTTGGTGAAGAAAGTTTAGAAAGATATAAGAGTTGTCTTGTTTGTTGTTGTTGTGAGATGTAGCTGAGGTGGGCGAGACAGCTAGATCGTTGCTTTCCTGAGAAGGCAGAGAGAAGGCGAGGTATGTTGTTTGGTTGAGGAAGAAGAAGAGAGGAGGGAAGCCTAAGATTGAGGGGAGGGACTCGTCCCTTTATGCTCCAGAGATTGTGTCCATGTTGTTTCTATTGTTGGTGTTTGGGGGCGTCTCCGTTGTC